GACGTAGAGTACGAGAGAGAGAGAGAGCATTTTTAGTAGGGGCTTGCCCCTACCAATTATGACGTCGGTATGGAAAATATGACAGTGTAGTGTTAAAAAGACCATCTCTTGAGGATGCTCTCGCAAAGAGCCCAAAAACATTCTTTAGGCCACGATCCATCAACAGTACAGCTTGGAAGCTCAAGGGCTGAATTGATATTGATCACTTCCACCAGATTGGAAGCATGCCGAAGTTACTTTTCTGGACACAAAAACTCATTCAACTCAACCATGTATGAATTTAAATCTTTTATTTTCTCACTACACTAGGGGACCTTCATGTGGGAAACCCACCCATTTCATTAAACTCCTAATAGGCGGGGTGCTAGACCTCGTGTGATATATTTAGAGTGGGCCTAACTATAAGTCTATTTATACCACACTACATACATGAAAACCTCACTACTTTTACTGTATCTCATTATTCTCACTCAAGGTCAATGTCAATTGGAAATTTCTATTCCCCTCTCATACATAACTTTTTTTCTCTAATTCCTTGGCGGAATTATCTTTCCTTCTGGGATGCTACCTCAAATTTACATATCAAACTGAACATTAATAATACTCGACTCATCAAATACTTGATCCAACGTACGAGTGGAACTTTCAGCATGATGAGCCTTTTATATGAACTTTGTATGACATCCCTTTGGCTTGGAGACATTTAAGGTCCATCTAAGCTGAGGGGATTGGTACTTTCATGTGGCAAAACTTTAAAGCATAAAAGTTGGTATGTTGATATATAAAACATTTAAGTATAATTAACTATATGTATGACAGAAAAGTTAAAAGGTGGTCTTGTCAAGCAACAAACACATGGAAGCAACAGGATTTGTATACACTCGCACACACAAGTCTTTTACCCATCGAGAAATCAAAACCTGAGTACGCAAATCTTAAAAACCATATACAAGGTATCATCTATTTGCAAATATTTCAGCTACAGATGAATCAATCAGCATGAGCAACCAGGAAATTAAAATACAAATAATTACCAGCATGTTAACAACAAAATTCACCATTTTGCAATAAACATCTCGTTATTGACTATTTTGAAAGAGAAGGCACTCTTGATGGTATCTTTTCCCCAAAATAATTATCCAAAACTCACTATCTTCTAATGTTTCATATTCAAGCTTATCATGTATAATTCAAGACACAAACAAGGATATGAACATGAACGAGAAGTGCATTATGTAAGAGTAGGCAGTTCATCGATAAGTAGATTATAAATTAATAAAAATGGTAGGTCAGTAATTGGTTGAAGAAGAATTCAGGCCAAACCTCATTCAGTATGTTGTCAAATAAATGGGACTGCAGGTAACTTGGGACACTATCTCCCAGATGGCCATCAAATATGGCAAACAACCCAAGTTCATGGCCTTTCACATATCTGTACTGTGCAACATGATAGTCCTCCATATCATGACCTGATTTTCCTTCAACAAGATGGAACCCATGGATCACTCTGTTACTGGACAACTTGCTGCGTCCTTTTCCAGTATCAGATGATGAAGAATTCATGCAAGTTGCAGTCTGCATAATAGAAACAGTTAAAACTAAGAGACAAAATTGAGAATCATTAACAAAAGAAAACCCAATTCCACAATTGAAATTTAACCAAAAGAAAAAGATATAAATTGATAATCAGTCGACAAAAGAAATCCCAATTCCATGTTTAGAGCCAGTCAAAGAATTACAGAAATAGAAACAAAAAATTATTTAACAAAGAAAACCCAATTTCATCCTTAGAACTTATTATAGAGTAACAATATCAGCTGGAACAGCTGTAAAGAACATGGTCAAGAAGAAATAACCATTTTTCAGATATTCAAAAAGTAAATTAATAAAGGAAACATGAAAAAAGCATGTTTTTATAATGTTTTATACACAAGTAGGCAATAGATCCTGATTCTTAGATAAGTAGAGCAAATGCAAAGTTTAGAAACTCAACGCCAGTATTCCACTATCCCTTAACAACTCTGGACCCGGAAAGATCAGAGAGCCCAAAAGCTTCAATTATCACTTAAACTCGATTGAGCCCATAGTTTTCACTGGCTCAAAGAGCACATAGCTCTGCTAAGCTCAATCAAACATCATAACCCACTGAATTTGTAGCTCTGATTAGCTCTACCAAAAGTGCCACAAACAAAAGCCATGGTCCATGAAATCTTGGCCATGGAAAACCCCAAATTCGAAGACTATGCCCCTTATCTAGACAAACCCAATTCGCAGAAAAGCCCAGGGGGGCCAACAGATGGAACCCAATAATAAAAAACTGGTGCCATGAGAGAGAAACAAAGAAATCACTACAAACTGATCAAACCAGAGACAAAGCAGTAACATGATAAACACAGAGAGAGAGAGATTCATAAAACACTGCGATAATAGATAGAAAGCTAAGGAGAGATGGCGTAGAGAGAGAAAGAGAAACCTGCTACCTTGATTTTGTTGAGGAACTCAGTCCTCCTGTTGGGGAGAGCATGGTGTCTCTCCATCCTGGTAACATAAGAAACGCTGCCTTAAACAATTGAGAGGCCTTTTCAACGATTCACGAAACCAGACGCAGTGCAGAGAGATTGCAAAAATGGAGAGAGAGAAATTTAGAGAGAGAGAGATAGAGAGTGGACAAACAGGAGATATACGAGAATGAAGAGAGATAAAAAGGAGAGAGAAAGTCATAAATGGAGAAAGTATGGAAGTCAGGGGCACCCGCATTCTTTGAACCTTCCTACGATGCCTTTGACTTCCATGCCATCACATTCCTCGTCATTCTACAATCTACGCTTCTTTCGCTGCCTTACTATGCCCCCTTCAAATGCTACAATGACCTATATGTCCTAAACTTGCCTTCCCTAATTCTAGCTTCATTAAAAACGAAAATTAGAATTAATCTTGATCATTGAAGTTGTGTAGCTGCATCATTAACGAAACGTGCAGTTCAAAATAAATTTTTTTGAACTTTATGACACACTCAAACTTTCAAATTTTCATATTATATGGTTGTAAGTATTTATACTAAAAGTAAATGGTTTCATTGTATATAATTTCATTAAAAAATATTTAGAAAAATTTATCAAATTATCTACAAGAGATGAACAATTTAACATAACGGTGTAGTTTACATAAGGTTACAACTTTACACAATCAAATTAAAGTGCACATCCACATTTTATCATAAATATAATTCCGGTGGCAACAAATCTTAGGATGTCTTGAAAATCTATTTTCATCTTTAATTATAAAATCTTAAACTCGAAAACTAGTTCAAATCAAGTAGATCTATAAACTCTTAAAAATCTTGAAAATGGACGGTCTAGATAATACGTTCCAAGATATATTATTTTTAGGACTCGAAATATTTTTTTTCTTTTCGTATTCATCCATCTCAATGTCGAGATGATCAATTAGAGGGTACTCCAATATCAAAACGACCTTTTATGATGGATTTTTTAGGTGTACCTTAATTTAATATTTTAAGATTGCAACCTTATATAAAAAAATTTCTTAACATAATGCACATATTTTTTATTTAATTTCAAAATATCAATACAAAATACATGATCTTAAGTAAAATATTAAATAATTCATCTTTTATAGGCATTTGGATAAATTTCTCTAAATTTCAAAGCATTATGAACACAAATCTATAAATACTTCAAAATAGACAAGTACAAATAATGTGTTACAAGATTCACTATTTTTAAATTTAAAATATTTTTCTTTTAGCATTTATATGTTTATACATCTCGAGGCTGAGACGATGAACTGAAAAAGTTCTTTAGCATTAAAACAAGTTTTTTTTGCCGAGATAATCAATTGAAGAGTTCTTCAACATTAAAACATGTTATTTCTATGGGGTTTTTAGGTATATTCCTTTCTTCTACAGTATAAAGTTGGCACCTTACATAACTTTTGTGCTTTGTCACAATGCTTACTAGCACAATACTTATTTGAGTCAAAAAAAAAGAAAAAAAAAAGAAAAAAAAGAAAAAAAAAAAGAGAAGACCAAACCTATTAATAAGATATAGATTGCAGCGACCAAACCTATTAATAAGATATAGATTGCAGCGACTAAACCTATTGATGAGATATAGATTGCAGCGTTTATGTGGTCTTGCTTGATGAAATATACATATTTGATTGACCTTGTAAATTGAGCTCTTTCTTTTATTCGCACACCTCTGCAATTATAGAGGGCCCCCATTTTGGCTTTGAACTCTTAAACCTGCAAATTTTTGTTGAATTCATCAAAATATATTTGACTTATCAACTATCTAATAATTTCCTCATTTTAACTATTCCAATTCCAACCCATGTCTATTTTGATGGAATGTCTTAAATTAAATAAAAAAATGGATTAATGGTTATGTCACACCCCAAGAATTTACAATACAGATATTTTTGAGATGTGACAGTCCAAAACATATATACAACTCTTGATAGGACAAATTTACAGTGGCGAGGTCTTACAAAGTAAATAAAGAAAACTAGCACAACAACAGTATCTTCCAAGGTTGATCTTGACTAGCACTCAAAATGAATCTGCAGTTATCCTGAAAAAATGTTTACCATAGTTTGATGAGTTTGGCTACTCAGTAAGTGATCATCATAATCCTAAAAATAATCATGGTTGGAAGATATCAATATTTTCCAAAAGGAGATATATTAACAGAAATGCATCAACAGTTTCACTTTCAATAAATGCATAATTAAGTATAATCCGAATAATTGAAATGCATATAACACTTTAACGGTAGTACATAATTCAAATGATTTCACAAAATACCCTATTGGCGTCCCAAGTAGGTCACCTATATACCCCATCAGGGTCCTGATGGGTCCACTTAATCGCTATCGGCGTCCCAGATAGGTCCACTTAATCCCTGCAGGTCCACTTATACCTCATCGACGTACCGGATGAGTCCACTTAATCCCTATCGGCGTCCCGAATAGGTCCACTTATACCTCACCGATGAACTGGATGAGTCCACTTGCATACTTAAATTATTTCTAATAAACATTCGAAAGCAGCAAATATCATGTACTCAACATATCACTGAAATCATTAATATGAATTTCACTAAAACCATTAATAATAGTCACTTTCAATAACATTTCAAAAATAACCAATCAAATATTTTGGGCTCAAATTTAGAAAATTTTTTATTTCCAAAGAAATGTTGTTGTGATCCCTAG